CTTAAAAACGCAATTTCGAATCCAGTTCGCACAGCCGGCATGCGATTTATGTTTTATAAATTTGTGTATGTTTCTATGAATRTACGTATGTATGTATGCGTGTATATGTACGTTTGGTGGTAACTTAGAGCAAGGCATAACTGCATATTTATACAATATCTAGTATTTTAAGTTAATAAAGTTTTTGGTTGGCGTAAACCACGAGCGTTTAAATTATGCCCACGCACACACACCATCGCACATATACAGCCATAAATTTGTAATAAAAACATATTTACTCAAAGTGTTTACAAGTTTTCAGTATTTCAGTAGCGTCGGCCGTCATTTGTTATTGCATTAAATCGCCCAAAAATTTAAGCCACTTATTATGGCCACCGGAATTACAAAACTTTTAATATTCATAAAATTAACTTCGTAGTCTAAATTGCCGGAAAACACATATATATATGATTGTTCGTAATAACTGTACAAAGTTTTAAATTTTCATAATAAAATTTGAAATATTTCAACTCACAGTCGTGTCTTGGAATTGGGGAAGTTTGTGTGTGTGTGTTTTTTTTTTTTTTTTTTTTTTTTTTTTTTTTTTTTTTTTTTTTTTTTGTAAGGGGATAATAACTTAAGTCTAAACTGTGTTTTTGCCCGATGAAAGCCAAGACCATATTTTTCTCATATAACAAGTGAAATTTCTTATTAGAATTATTTATTGTTACAAACATACACTATTAACAAAGATATTCTGAATTTTTTTAGAAAAAAAAAATATTTTCAATTCTGACTTGACCAGGAACAGGAAGTGAGAATCAGGTCACCGTAGGAGTAAACAATCCATTTATGTTTAGTTTTTTGGGTATCAGGTTCGGTTATTATCAGCTGTTTCAGTGATATCAATTGCGAATCACTAAACACTTAGACACATTTCTTCATTGAGTTATAAAGAAATTTTTTTTATAAATAATCAAATAATTTCTTTTTACCAATTAAGTTTACGAAAACATCGTTTTAACCTTTTTTGAAGACCATAAGAAAAAAGTGAAGATGTTACAGCTAAGAGCTCATACTTGAAACATCTTCCATAGAGGTTTCCATCAAGAATTCTTCAGTTCACCAAGCGAAATAAACATTTACAGATACAAGAAATGAATCCACTCGAACTTCCTGAAAAGTTCCGATGTCTCTAAGCCAAAATTTGTTCAGCGATGAGGCCCATTTCTGGCTCAATGGGTATGTAAATAAGCTAAATTACCGCATTTGGGACGAAAAGCAATCAGAAGAGTTTCAAGAGCTACCAAATCGTCCAGAAAAAACAACGATTTGGTGTGGTTTGTTTGCCGGTGGAATCATCGCTCTATATTTCTTAAGAAAATGATGCCGGTGAGAACCTAACCGTCAATTTCGACAATCATCGCGCCTTAATAACTGACTATTTTAGGTCTGAATTTAAAACTCGTGATCTCGGGGACATTTGATTTCAACAATACGGCACCACCTCCCACACATCTCATCAATCAATGGATTTACTACGATGAACAGATAATTTCTTATTTTCAGCCTGTCGATGGCCACAAAGATCGTATGATATCACACCGGTAGACTTTTTCCTGTGGGGATATACAAAGTCTAAAGTCTATGCGGACAATGCCGCTTCAATTCAACCCGTAAAGCAATACATTACGCGTGTCATACGCCAGTTACCCTTCGAAATACTCGAACGAGTCATCGAAAATTGAACTGAACTTTTGCCATCTGAGACGTAGCCGCGGCCAATATTTGAAAGAGATAATGTTCCAAAAATAAATGTGTTTCTAATGATAATAACCATTCCCAATTAATTTTGAAGTTTCTGAGTTTTTTCCTTAAAACAGTAGAGAACATCGAAATGGATTACCTTTATACATAAAACATGCATGCAGAGCGATAGCAATCTAATAATTTGTCTCCGAGTGAACACTCAAGCAAATTTGAAAAATGTAGTTTCGAAAAAAATGCTTTTAAACATAAATTAATTGAACTGAGTGGCTGTAACTCAAGAACTATTTGAGATATTGATTTGATATTTTAGTAAATTATTTTTATAGGTATAACTAGTCGAAATATGGAAAAACACGATTTTGTTTTAATTTCAAACATGGTATGACTCTTAAATTAAAAAGTATTCCTCATTATTGAAGTATTTTCGTCAATATTTTTATTAAAATCATAAATCTCTAAAGTCTGAGTTTATACAAAATAGTAGGATGCCATATAATCTGCATAATTTGGGTGCGCAAATACTTAAGAGATTCTGCAGCGTGTTACAAAACACTTGTTGTACACAACAACTTTAATATTTGCCAGCATATTTAGGTGCCCTACAACTCGAAACTTACTACAAGCTCAAGTGTGTGCTACCTGTATGTATGTATGCATGTGTGAACTGAGCAAACTTTAAAGCCCTTTTCCATAGGTATGAATGCTTGTAGTGTAAACAACTTTTAGCTGTCGTACACATACATATATCTTCGTAAGCACATAATAAATACACAGTTGACCTATGAACTTACCCCAAGCACCGCGTTGCAGACTTTTGTGGCTCATATGCGTTTTTCAGTGAAACAAAAACAACTTTTTCACTTCAATTGCCAACAGAAAAACAAGTGTACATATGTTTGTATATATATATATATATATATATTTGCATCCAGTTGCTCACATTAGTGAGTGGGATAGCGGTTTTTTATAGTACTACCCAATTCATAGGACTATACCATAAAGAAGCCCAGTAGGTATGAAAACTCAAAGTTATGAAGAAAGCTTAGCCAATAGAAAAGCTGAAGGAGTTTTATCCAGATTCATTCAGTTTGTATACTCTGTATACCATATATGTATTAAGTTTGCCACGAAGCTTGTAGCACAAAAGGACCCGGCGGACATCTCATAAAGTATATACTTGTATATAAATGATCTGCGTTACGAGCTGAGTCGGAGTCGGAGTCTCTGGAGTTTTTGAGATATCGATCTGAAATTTTGCACACTTTAGTATCTACCCAAGTATCTGCTCATTTGTCGGAACTCCCGATATCGGACCGCTTTTGCATATAACGTGTTTTTCAATAAGGAGACTAAGAAAGTAAACCGATAGGAACAGAAAACGAAGCCAGTTTTTTCCCCTCTCTTTTGAGATCTCTTTTGAGTAAGGTTTGCCATTTCATTGGCTGACATACAACCAGAATGGTCGGAAACAAGTGCTTGTAAGGAAAACTTTTAGATTTGAAGACATATGTATCGTAAAGAAATTTGGCATGGAAGGCCCGGCTACATTCTTTGAAGAATTCGTTTAGCTGAAAAAACTATAATATATAAGAATTACACAAACTGGCCGGTCGAACTCAAAAGAAAGATCTTGTTATACCCTTTTACGGCATAAAAATGCTACTCTGAAGGGTACTACAGCTACGGTGCAGCTTTATTTAATTTTTTTTCTTGTTTTGAATGTTAAAAACCAAATTTCCTGGCGGGCAGCTACAATTTGTAGGTGAAATTGGTTTCAAAGTCGTTCAACCAATTTAAGCCAGCATTCATTCATTCGAGACCTGCTAGTATGTATGCGCATATATACTTGTAAAGTACATATATCCATATACATAAAATGTTGACGTATCGAAATGAAGCCTCACAATCATAAATCTCCAAGCTTTTGCTCATAAATTTTTGAGTTGCAGAAAATGCTCAGTATGGCAAAGAAATGGAAGCACAGCGAATAAGAACATGCAGTCATTTACCATAGATGGAGTGACAACGGCACAAGCAACAAATATTGGTTAGCATTGAAAGTCGAAGTCGAGCCTCAACCTTTTTTTTTTTTTTTTGTTTAACTTTACCCTCAACTTGATTGGTTGCATGCAGCAGAGCAGCAGCACATATAGAGGCCTCTTGATGATGCTGTATAAATGGATCTTGATATTGTGCATGAATGGGACAAAGTGTGCATGTAGTGGTTGCAATTTGCGTGAAAACTTGTTTCAAGTACCACAACTACCCAGATGATTGAGGCCAATAACGCACTGTGCAAACAAGGGTGGAGAATAATCTAGGGTATGCGCCAATACTTAATGGGTTATACAGAATATCTAAGAATTCTGACAAAAATATGATATTCTCAAATTTTTCGAAGTTATAATTTCACCGTTTTTCTTAGAAAATTATTTAAATCTGTAATATTTGGCAGTCGAAAAAATCTTTTCGTATTCAAACTTCAACTTTTTTTTATATTTATAATGAACTTCAAGAAACCAAGTATGTACGATTTTGGTCGACCACTTTTTGCCATTTTTCCACTAGAGACAATATTCCACCAAAACCAAACACTCAGCATAAGTTGCATTTGTTGGCATTTGTTGCGCTTCACCACGCTTGGGCCATGATCTTTTTCGCACATTATTCTCATATTTGATCCACTTTTCGTCTCCATTTACCATTCGTTTCAGAAATGGTTCGATTTCATTTCATGGGTGCTTATGTGACGGTCCTGGTCTATATGTTCCATAATTTCATCGACTTTTTCGACGAAAGGTCGACCAGAGCGAGGTGCATCTTTCACATCGAAATTTCCATCTGAAGCTTGAGAACCATTGTTGTGCTACACGAACTGATACAACATCGTCTACGCAAATTTCACAAATTTCATTGGTGGCTTGCGTGGCATTCCCTTTTTTACACACAAATTTCAAATATAGCAAGTATCTTTCTTATTTTCACCCAATTTTGAACATGTGCACCTTTTCTTCAACCCGAATTTCATTTCTTTTGGTTGAGTAAAGCTTAAAATCTCACCTTTCCAACACTATATATTATGACACAATGTATTTGATAGCACAGGATATATACGAAAAGACTTTTTCGTCATCGCAACATTTCTCCTATTTAGTCTATTAGGACTTTCGTTTAAAATAAAAAATTTTTTAGTAATTCACATAATTAAATTTGTTAATAAATGTAAATATTTTTCTTACCTACCATTGCAGCATCTACAAGTGCCAACTAACTGTCTCCCAGCTGCGAAACCCACCCACCATAAACCGCGCAAGAATGAATACTTCTGCTAGCATAAAGTCACAGCTGCTGCTTTACGCGCTGCTCACCATCACCTGCTTATGCGTCACGGCACAATTACCCGCGACAGGCTCTTCAAATTGTGGACCCAATTTTCCGTCGGCCTGCCTTTGTGGACGCGAGCTGTACGAGGGCAGCATCAGTTACATTGTAAACTGCACGAATACAGGCATCCACAACACCAGCGTGCTCGAGTTCATGCCGGACGAGGTGGAAATTTTAATATTCACCGGTAATATTGTGCCCGAATTACCATGGAATGTATTCGGCTCGATTAATGACTACAAAAATCTGAAGATCGTCGATATGAGCAACAATCACATACGTGAAATACGCGGAAAATCCTATCATCACGTGCAAAATGTAGAGCGTTTGATATTAAATCATAACAATTTGAGCATTTCACGCGAAGATGACGAAGTCAATCACCATCATCCACGCGTGTTTTCGAATTTCCTAAATTTGCAAAGTCTACACCTAACCGACGCGTTCGCTGATAACAGTTCGCCACAGCTAAGTGAAGATTTGCATGATATTTTCGTGAACAGTCAGCTGAACAAGCTGCAGAAATTGCATTTGGAGCAAAACGAAATCACACACTTCAAGGATCGCAATGTCTTCTGTGATCTGCCGAGTCTGCGCGATTTACACTTGGGCGATAATCTACTTAAAGATATCAATTTTGAGGTGCGTTGCTTGAAAAATTTGCGCTTTCTCGATTTGGAGCGCAACAAATTTGAATATGTGAAGACACACGACATGATGCTACTCAACGAACTGGAGACGCGCAGCGATCGCACCACCAATCTCATTGTCGACTTCAATCTCAATCCATTCCTTTGTGATTGCAAAATCAGCTCCTTTCACACCTGGATTCTCTCGACGAACGTAACGGTACGCAATAAGAATACGCTAATGTGTTATCACAACGATGTCGAGCCACTACCGATCATGGAACTGAATATGGACGGCTGTGCGGCAGCGGTAGCGGCTGCTGCCATGATGTTCAACACAGCAACAGATGCGCACTATGGCGGCAATGGCATGGAGCAAAGCATAAGTGACGGTAGCACGGCAGCCGGACGGCCGCACATGAATCAGCACACAGTGACACTTATCTTCCTGCTGATTGTTTTGAGTATGATTTTGTTGGGGCTGGTGGTGGCGCTGGTCTATGTGAGTCGTGAGCGCATTAAATACATGATAACGCCGGTGTTCGATAATGTTGCCAAGAAGGTGCAATACACATCGATCAAAGACGAGGATTGCCCGGAAGTGTATGTTTAAGGCGCGCAAACCGCTGCGTAAAAATCGATAAAAAAAAACACATACAAACGAACGTTAAAAGCAACGAAAGGCCATAATTGACAGTCAACAATGATAAGCGACAAGCATGACTGTTTGGGAGCTGCTGTGGTGATTGGAATAAATATGAAAACCACCAATTAGTAGATAACACAGTTCGACTGCCGCTGTCGGGCAGTTTAAACAGCGATAACGTGGATTTTTTTTTACTAATATAAAATTAAATTTGTGCCATTTAAAGACAAGAAATCAAACAAAAAAGACGCAATGAGTGAAGTTGCAGAAATTATAATACATATATACATACATGCACACGTATGTTAAGGGCAGCTGGCGCACGAAATAGCGTTAGATAGAAATGTTATTTGAAATATGTATGTGTGGAGTAGCAGTGTCACAGGAATTGCTGAAAGCCAACGTCTAACAAATACGTATATGTAGATATATATACACACACATAAAAACATAGACATTAGTTTATAACCAAACTACATACGCATACATACAAACATAGTAGGTATTTAATATTTTCACAGCAGAACATGAACATATCACAACAGCATTTGTAAACAGCAAAACTTATGTAATTAAAGATGAAAAAATTAAAATGAACAATAAGCTCAATAGAAAGAAAATACTACAATTTATTATAAGTACTTTACTAATTTCAAGCGTATATTGCTGTATTTAAGTTTAAGTTTTAAAGTTAACTGTAATGACCTCCGTGTAATTCTAAAAGAGAAGTTAGGCATTTTGTCATTTGAAAATATTTAAAAAAAAAATACTACAACAAAAGTGTGTAGCTTTTTTTAATTAAAACTAATAATTTAGTTATTAATTTCATATACTCGTAAATGTTGAAATGAAAAAGAAATTCGCGTAACGGATACGTAATGTACACTATACTACATTGGCTGTCAAACTGCAGAAATTTTATAATTTATAAAAGGAATTTTTCCACAATATAATTTAAATTAAGCTTACTCCTATTTGACAAAAATTATATTCTAGCGCTTGACGATAATTGTTTTTCCTATTTTCAATGGGAAGAGGATTTTTCATCGCGACAAATCGCAAACATTTAAGGGATTACATGGATTTCCAGGGGTAAAAAACAGTCTTTTTTCAAAAATTTCTTCTCATATAGAAATTGAAATATTTTATTATTACAAACATACAATATTAACAACACAATTTTTAAACTTTTGGAAAATTATATTTTTAACTCGGCCATGGCATGATAACTACTTAAAAAATCATCAAAAGAAAAAAAAAGTGTTTTAGTTAAAACCTTAAATTAAAACCTGGACGAAGGAAAAAACTGAAAAGTTRATTTTTGGAAGAAATTTTGGCAAAAAAAATTAAAATTTCAGATAAATTTTGCGACATTTTTTTTTCAAATATTGTATCTCAAAGGCCTGTGTAAAATTGTAAGAAGATCGTTTAAGTAGTTCTCGAGAAATCTTGTCAACTGACTTCAAAAACAAAGTTTCGAGATAAACGCATTTAAGGACCACTCGGATCTCGGATCTTGAAAATTTAGGACAATATTCTAGAGATGTTTTAAAATTAATAAAATACAATAAAAAATTCGATTTTTTAAATCCGTAAATCCATGTAACCCCTTAACTTTTATCATACTAATTTTGGTAACACCGGCCGACACAACTTTTGGGTCTGACTTCAGCATGTTTAACTTAAATTTCTTATACAACAAAAGTAAGCAGACCATCATTTTTTTAAATAAGGGGTTATATACAGTTAGAAAGCAGAAAAAACTGAGTTTTCTAAGTTCTTGGTCCAAAAATGTGTACACAATTATGGTGTCTTTTAACTGTATTTTAAGACTTAGTGTTAGTAAAAATATTTTTTGGAAAAGAACTCCTGCTGAACTCCGGAAACTCCACTCAAAAAAAACGTTTTGCGGTGACCAATGTAACTCTGTATTGGATCCTCTGAAATTAAAAAATCAAACAGATTTCGTTAAATCTAATTTAAGGAATAAGAAAATTTTTGTTGACAAAATGGTGGTTTCTAAAAAAATTGATTTTTTAACAAAAATTTCGGTCTAAAATTGTTTATAAAAAATATTTAAGAGTGAGAAAAAATCTAAAATATCTTCGTTTAATTATTAAATAAAACGTGTTAAAATTTGAGACTAATCAGCTTAGCCGTTTTTGAGTAATGTTGGTCACCGACTTTGAAAACAACATTTTGAGAAAAACGCATTTACAAATTTGCGTGTAACTTCAGAAATATTCCTCGGAATGATACAAAATTTTCTGTGTATATTCATAAATATATGTACATTAAGAAAATAAAATATAAAAAATAGATTTTTTGAAATTTCTAATTGTATATAACCACTTCACTATGTTTAATTTCATTTTCTTACACACAAAAAATAAGGGAACATTTTTTGTTTGATCAAAACTTGCGTTTGCAGACATTTNGCTTAGCATGCATACTGTGGGCAAAAAATAGTAAGACATTTTAATTTAAATCATGCAAAAACCCATTCATCGAAATATTAATTTTTTTTTAATTGAAAATCAATTGATTTTTTTTTTTTAATTTTTTTTAATACTTAATTCCAGTGTTTTTTCGAAATCTAGTTATTCTTGATTGGAGCATGAGATCAGAAACCAAAAAATCAACATTTTTGTTGCCCTGTGTAATAGTTAGCACCGCACGGGGCAAGTAATTTCAAAGTATATAGAAAACATGCCGTTGAAATTTCAAATATATTTTAATTCCAGCAGATATCACAGCAGATGCCACATGCCTTTGTAATATAGAAAAAAAAATCGAAATAAGCACTTTGCCAATTTTTTATAGAAATCAAAATATGCATAATATTTTTCTAATTTTTTAATATATAATGCACTGTGTATTTTTTTTAAAGCTAATACAATACCGTTTTTAAACAAACAAAAATCGCTGTAACTTAGGGCTCGAACACATTTGAATTAAATCATACATTAGTGATATCTGTGATTTAAGTTACATAGCATTAGTTCTTTAAAAAGCATTAAAAAGCAATGGCAWAAAAGAAGAAGAAGAGCATGAAATTTGAGGAGAAAAGTTGAAATAAAATTACAAAAAGCGAAACGAAAACCTTACATGCGAAAAGAAACACAAATACAAACAGAAAACTGCTTGTGTACTTATACAAATGTGCGATATTCGGTACATATAATACATACAAACATACATATGTATATCTACAAATAAAGCATATTAAAAGACAATTTACAGAAATGTAAGAAACCGCTGTTTGTAGTTTGTTTTTAAAATCAATTGCACACACATTTAAACTAACATTTTATATTGCATATTTTTGGAAAAGCATTAACTACAAATTCACTTATACATATTTAAAATTTTATTATTAACCACATTGTATTTTCTTAACACGATTTATTTTAATTGTTTATAATTAATAATCGACATGCTTTCATACTTATGTACATACACGTGCGTATTGCAAATACGTGTGTGTTTTATGATAGCAGTAAGAAATTGTTAATAACAAAAATGTTCTTTTCTGAAATGAATTAAATTTTTTTTATAAGAAAACACAATAAAAAAGGATTATGTAAAAATAAAAATGTATTTTATTAAAAAAAAACTATATCAAGCATGTAATGTATATTGGTAGGACATGTGCCATAATGTGATGTGAAAAAATGGGAAACTGGCTGTTATCTGGCTCTATAAAGGAAAAGGCACGGTGCATGGCCAGTGCTTAGATGACTCTCACGCCGCAATGTGATGTGATTTAACAGTGATAATGTAATCTAGCGGGAAGCTGGCTGTTAGCTTGATCTATAAAAGAAAAGCAGCCGCGGTGTCTCTTCAGTGCTTAGGTGACTCTCACGCCGCGATGTGATGTGATTTAGCAGTCATAATGTAATCTCGCGGGAAGACGGCTGTTATCTGTCTCTATAAAGGAAAATCTACACCGGNCTCTCACGCCGCGATGTGATGTGATTTAGCAGTCATAATGTAATCTCGCGGGAAGACGGCTGTTATCTGTCTCTATAAAGGAAAATCTACACCGGTGCCTGGTCAGTGCTTAGGTGACGATCGCACCGTGCTGTGCTGTGACTTAACAGTCACAATTTAATCTCCCGGTAAGATGGCAGTGCTTAGGTGACTCTCACGCCGCGAAGTGATGTGATTTAACAGTCGTAATGTAATCTCGCGGGAAGACRGCTGTTAGCTGAATCCATAAGTCCAGTGCTTAGTTGTCATAATGTAATCTCGCCGGAAACTGGCTGTTAGCTAGCTCTATAACAGAAAAGCACGGTGCCTGGTCAGTGCTTAGGTGACGATCGCACCGTGATGTGGTGTGATTTAACAGTCACAATTTAATCTCCCGGTAAGATGGCTGTTATCTGGATCTATAACAGAAAAGCAGCGGCGGTGCCTGGTCAGTGCTTAGGTGGCTCTCACGCCGCGATGTGATGTGATTTNGGTAAGATGGCTGTTATCTGGATCTATAACAGAAAAGCAGCGGCGGTGCCTGGTCAGTGCTTAGGTGGCTCTCACGCCGCGATGTGATGTGATTTGACAGTTACAGGTGGGCTCCAGTCAGTTCGCTTAAATTCTTAATAAAAACAATAGAAAACGTTAACTTCGGTTGCACTGGTGCTATACTACCATCACTATAATACAGCAGCTATGTGCTATAGTACTCGATATCGGTGGTTCCGTCAAATGAGCGGCTTCTGGGGAGAAGAGGACGTATGAAGAATTTCACTTCGTGTCAAACTTAATATACCCTACTCAGGGCATAAAAACAGAAAAATAAAAATAATCTATCGCAAAAATGGTTTGTGTAAATGTCATACAATTATTTTTCCACAGAGTATGCCAAGAAATTAAAAAATACAACACTGGGTGTTAAGAACGTACAAAGCATGACATTGACAGTTCATCCAAAATATAGCAAAATGTTGGCTAGTGCGCATGAGCAATTCGGCAAATCTTTGTTTTGCTATTTTTTGATAATACTTGTAAATATCACTTACCTACGTAACTTTTCACAACTTTATAAAAAAGTTTCTGTTTATTATATCAAGAAAATTTCTTGACTTATGTACGAAAATATATTATGAGCGTGGGATAATGAGTTAAAGTGAGCCCGACAGTGATTGCATTTGTTTACGTGAATGTTTATGATTTTTGGTGAACAAGCAACAGTTTGTAGCACAGTAAAAAGTTTATCGTTTTTTTTTTTTTTTTTGTGCACACATAAATATATACTAAAATAGGGATAGAAAGTGGTGTTTTCTAAAATTGTATGTGTGCCAATTTGTCTAGTTCCTAAAGCGAAATGTAAATATTTAAGCTATCTCAAATTTTCAAAAAGCGTTTGTTTGCAAGCTTCAGAGTTAAATAAAAGTTAATGTTGATACCCTGTTGACCATGAAACAAAATTTGATTACCACTTAATAAAATGCTTGCTTCAGTAGCTGTTTTGAACAGCTGGTTTACACAATCATATACATACAAAAGTGTTGAAAACTATATAAAAGTCTTTTTAAAACTATTTAACTTTTCATTTTATGGAAAGATCAGCGCTTTGTTTTCTGTGTCATTTCTGTATGAATATGTATACGAAGTGCCGGTATGAATTATGCAATATGTATACAGAATAGAATGAGTCGTTTTTGTGTTTAGTCAAAAGTGACAGCTTGCAAGTCATGGATATAATTTAATACTTAAACCATAAACCAATTGCATTTATTTACTGTGATCTTAAAATAATTACTCCAAAGTAATTAATAGTACACTATTATAAATATATAGTGCATTTATATTTCCTCTCATGACTATGACTATTAATTATGCCGCCGCTTATCTTCAGATCTTCATATTAGCGCACTGATAAGATTTTTGCTCAGTATTATCTCTTGTGACATTCGGCATATAAGTGTTATTTTAAAAATTTCAGATGTTCATTCTTCCCTCACGTATTTTGTGCCAACAAACGCGTCAATTACGAAGTAAACAAATAATTATAAGTACTGCTCTCCACAATTTACAACAAAGGGAACAATCTAGCATTGCCATGGAAAAATTCGGTCTGCCTAAACGTTTGCAGGGCGGCAAGCCAAGTGTTTGGTTAGTTGAAAAATATAACAAATATAATATGTACAAATAGAAATATAACAAATTGTATAATTTACAGGAATGAGTACATTACGTTAGCTATGCAATACAAACCCCTCAATTTAGGGCAGGGATTTCCAGACGAACTTCCACCATCTTATGTTACGAATGCCTTAGCGGATATAGCGAAAAGCGACAATCCTATGCTGCAGCAATATACACGTGGTTATGTTAGTTGAAAAATTCTCTTATATTCATATTTTTTCTAATAAATTATACGATATTTTCATTCACAGGGTCATTTAAGGCTCGTGCAAGCATTGAGTAAACTTTACTCAGGATTAGTTAAGCGTGAGATAAATCCACTTAGCGAAATTCTTATAACATCGGGCGCATACGAAGCACTCTATTCGGCTATAATGGGTCATATCGATGATGGAGACGAAGTAATTATCATTGAGCCATTTTTTGATTGCTATGAGCCTATGGTGAAAATGGCAGGTGGTGTGCCACGTTTCATAGCACTGAAACCGGTAAATGAAATAAATTATGACCCCTATTTGCAAATTTAAAATTTGACATATAAATTGGTATTTCCTAGAATAAATCGAATGGTACTGTGAGTTCTGCCGACTGGGTGCTGGACGATGCCGAACTGGAACAACTTTTCAACAATAAAACCAAAATGATTATACTCAACACACCGCACAACCCAATCGGAAAGGTGTTCCATCGCGAAGAGTTAGAACGTATCGCTGCTCTATGTCGTAAATGGAATGTTTTGTGCCTATCAGATGAGGTCTATGAATGGCTGGTTTACGATGATGCTAAGCATATTCGTATTTGTACTTTGCCCGATATGTGGGAACGTACCATAACAGTTGGTTCGGCCGGCAAAACATTTTCAGTAACTGGCTGGAAAATCGGTTGGGCCTATGGACCAGCGAACTTAATTACCAATTTACAACTTGTGCATCAAAACTCAGTGTATACGTGCCCTACTCCAATACAAGAGGCAGTAGCACGAGGCTTTGAGTTGGAGCTAACCCGGCTGGAATCTCCTGATTGTTATTTCAATAGTTTGCCACAAGAATTAAAAGTGAAAAGAGACTTCATGGCGAAATTTTTGCAGGACGCAGGTCTGAAGCCTACAATACCCGAGGGTGGCTACTTCATGTTAGCTGATTGGAGTAAATTGGGTATACTTTTCTAAATAATCAATATACAAAATATATAAAGAACATTCAATTTCAGGTAACAAAATTGATTTAAGCTCTGAGGTGGATCAATATCTGGATTATAAATTCACTAAATGGATGACAAAAAATATGGGCTTGCAAGGAATACCTCCAAGTGCATTTTACGGTGAAACTCATAAAAACCTTGGTGAAAATTTTGTACGTTATTGCTTTATCAAAAAGCAGGAAAACTTGGAAAAGGCAGCAGAACTCCTTAAAAAGTGGAAATCTTAAAGCCTTATAAAGTGTGTAAATATATTTTTTTTGTTAGTGTGTTGACGCTATTATTAAGATTGCATATATTTGTTTATAATTTAATATTTTTTGGTAAAGAAGTAAAATATTAAAAACTACACGTCATATGATGATATAATTTTTTTTTAATTATCACACAATCGATATATAAAATATTTACATATCAAATACTGATTTTACAGCCAACTCTGGCTTATCGTAATTCAATTCCTCCGGAGTTGGAATGCCAAGTTCGTACAGTGTTGGACGTATGTGACCTAATAAGTATGGATATATTTGGTCTACCTTATCGCCACATCTATCCTTGCATGCTTCCAACCACCTGATAGCTAGAGCTATGTCGTTGACACGGCGACAAGCACGTAATGCAGCTTCAATTACTTTTGGGTCGGGAATCACATCATTTCCCAAAATGTCATTCATGCCTTGGCGTAAATCCCAACCATCAATTTCGCAACGGTTAAAAAAATCTTCAAAACGTTTTGTAAAAATGTGCTCTGGCTCTTCTTCGTGCATATGCATACAATTACGGGATATTATCAAAGTAGGTAGCCGTTGTGAAGATTGCAAAGTCTTGACAAAACCAAAATACATGGAACGCAACATTTTCGTTTCGTATACAACACTAAATTAAAATCGACAAATGTAAGTTTTTTAAGCACAAGTGACGCAAAAAACTTTGGAAGCTAGTAATTAAACAAATAAATAGCATTGCAAGTATGTATGAATAAGAAGTTCATTTGGGTTTCCAGAAAACACAATACTAAATATAACAATAAAAACTAAGTTATATAGAAATTAAATGTGAATTAAAATTTATCGACTTTAATTAAATTCAACTGCGGTTCCATATTTTTTTATACCACCTATTTCTAACCTCAATTTAACAGCTGTTTTTTCTCTGCTATTAACACACTTGTAAAACAATTGCACAAAAATCGGATGGCTGTATTGATTACGCAACAAAGAACACAAATTTTCAGTTTTTCGCACTGTCGGCTAGTTTTTGAACCAGCACATTTTATTGATCGAATGAATATGTTACTCATTAATGGAAATAATTGCAGCACTTTTTACCTTAAACATTTTTTTCTTTCGCTTAAACGTATATTACCTTAAGCATGATTCTAACTAAATGAATGGGAGGCAATTTACATATCGTAAACTGATTTCAATGCCAACTCAGGTTTATCATAATTTAATTCTTCTGGAGTTGGAATGCCCAATTCATCTAAAGTGGGGCGAATGTTTTGGATGAGGTATGGGTAGATGGTGCTCTTCTGGTCACCGCACTTGTCTTTGCAGCCTTCTAACCACCTAATAGCCAGAGCAATGTCGTTAACACGACGGCAGGCACGCAGACCAGCATCAATTATTGCGGGTTCTGGTACTAAATCCATGCCCAGTAAATCATTCATGCCTTTACGAATTTCCCAACCGTCAATATCCTTGCGATTGAAGAAATCTTGGAAACGTTTGTTGAAAACTTCTTCATTTTCTTCGCCGTGAGAGGCACGTACTGAGCCGACTGTGGCAACACGACCAGATAGGCCCATTGCTCCACGCAGCACGTTAGCAAATTGTCCAGAAGCGACACGCAACATTTTCTATGAAATTTATTAAATTAATTAAGGTTTTCCAATTATAAAATTAATCAAAGATTTTATAATGTGTTGGTTAAGTAATAAATGTATTGCTAGTAGTACCTTTTTTTTAGCGAACAAGACGACGAGTAACACAAGACGTCAAATACTCAGTCAAATATCTTTATAAGAAGACACCTAATAAAATAAATTCGACAATAGATTTGAGCGAGCAGAGAACGTTCTCTGGAGCGAGTAAAGAAATGTGGGCAAAATCAACCTACACAAGCAGAGGGCGCTGTTATATATAACATTTATAAATAAACAATTTAACTTATTTAGATTAAGTTAACTATTCTTACGAACTTGAGTATATACAAAATTATATTTATTCCTATATTTGCACAAGTTTTGAATTCAATATCCTTTGGAATAGATTTTAGATAAGCTGTTTCTTTCAAACAAATATCAGTCCAGAATACAACTCTTTTCTCTTCTTCTTGCTTTTGTACTTTTCACAATATTCATCGTACTTCACAAAGAGGAACGAGTAAAGTTTTTTTATTCTTTCCATTCGTCTTTTTTACGGGTGCGAGTAGTTGAACGTGATTTCGTGATTATTTCTCGTCTATCACAAGTAAATTTACACACAAAATAAAATATATTTATCTCAGTGAAGAACGGCGTTAAACGCAAAGGAGTCTTAATATATATTCAGAAAATATGTCGGAAACAACGGGGTAAGTGTATAAAATAAATTTGTAGCGATATCGGCAGGCGTATCATAGAGATGCACATACCTTCAATCGCTGTGTATATACTTATATGTATAAAGAACAACAAGCACAGCGTTAGCGGCGAAGACAATGGCGTTTATAGTAGTAATAATGGCCGTGATTCCGGCATCCAAAGACCATTTTTTAATACCACGAGGCACGATGTTCACTGCATTCTAATATCCAAAGGTCTAAATCTAGGTTTTTTGAATCATATGCTGCAAAGCTTTCCGCAAATTCATTAAACATATTATAGGTTATGTTGAGTAGGAATTTCTCGAATGAACCAAACTATGCCGTTCGGCATTTATACATATCTTATGAACTTGGATATTGCTTTTTATATTATCAAGAATTTTTTTTTTTTTTTTTTTTTTTTTTTTTTTTTTTTTTTTTTTTTTTCATTTTTTTTTTTTTTTTTTTTTTTTTTTTTTTTTTTTTTTTTCAACATTTGTTACATATTTATGGGATTTAATTGTATTACTGCAAAAATAAGCGAATTAAAGTTAGGTTAGGGTGACGCTCTCATATAGATTTTGTAGAACTATGTGTACAATGATTTGCCAAATAGCTAATCGTTGAAAAAAAAATTAACTGAGTTATGATTAAAGTTCATAATTATTTCAGACTCAGACTAAACAATTTTTGGGTGTACTTGTTCGCAAATAAAAATTGCTTTTAGTATATCTATAATACTGTATTAAAACTATAATTATCTAATTACTGACTTTATACACTTTTTCTAAATCCCACAGAACAGTATATCCTCCAGTCTCTTGGGCCCAACGTAACGATCTGCTTTATGTCATAATTGATGTGGAATGCATCAATATTGAACATAAGTGAGTATACAATCATATTTTAAATTTAAGTGGATATTTTGGTTATACAAAACACGTTCGTTTTAATTTATAGAGTGACAGAGAATAGCTTCACTTTCAAGGGCGTTAACGCTCTAGACGCAACCAAAAAATACGAAGTTACACTCAATTTCCTACATCCTGTGGATCCCGAAAGAGTGACGAGTAAGAACATTGGTAGATGTTTGGAGTTCACTATTTATAAGGTACATAAATTGTAATTTTATTTAGGGGATTCATAACGCATCGTAAAATCATAAAATCATTAATTTTTACACTTACATTCATTACATTTTTTTACAATTACATTCTATGTTATCGGTTCGTTATAACTTAATGAGACTAAAATACTTATACTCGAATTATTTACTTGCAAATTACAGAAAGAATCAGGTCCCTACTGGCCGTCTCTTACCAACGATAAAATCAAATTGCACTTTTTGAAAGCAAATTTTACTAAGTGGAAAAATGAGTCGGATGAAGAGGATGGTACGTATTAAAAGTACCTCTACTAACGAAATAAATAATAATACACAAATATTTAAAAAAAATTTCAGAGGGCGAGGCAGAACCTCCGTTCAATAATCTCTTCAATTCATCTTGGAATAAGAAATTTGACGATTTAGGTCTAGAAGAAGACGACTCAGACGACGATATTCCCAGCTTAACTAAAAACGACGAGGATTCTTCAGATGAAGATAAGGAGAAGGGAGAAGAAGAGAAACCAGCACCTGAGGCTGAGAATAAATAGTTTAATAAATTGTTAAACACTTGAATAACGTAGTGCAGAAAATATGGAACTTAAGAGATGATCACAAAAAGAAACTCCAAACTAAACATAAGAATCCCTATTATTATAAATAAACTATTTTTCCAAACGATTGGAAAGGAAAAAATCAATTACACTGCGAAGTCATTTCAGTTTCATCAATATGCTAATTAATGTTAAAACATTAATAATTGTGTTTTTTTTTCGAGTTGCTCGTATATTCAGATAGAATTATAAGCCAGAAGAATGAACACCGTACACTAGTTAGTCATGGGGCTTACACACCTACATTATTACAAACGTACATATATATTCACACCAGAGAACGTTTATTATAAATGTTTGTTTTTCCTATAAATAAACGAGATAGCGATTTATCGACCGAAAATTCGATAAGAATATTTTAAATTTTACATATAAAAATATGAGTTCAACGGATGTGTTCGCTTATGGGGGAGCGAGCTAATATTTAGTAATAGCGGTGGAAAATGGCAGGAATAATACAGAACCTGATCGAATGTTAATAATATTAAAACTTCATTTAATTATAGACAGTACCGAAACAATATTTAACGAAAGCACTACATATTATACCTAATCTACAAAACAAATTATGTCATGTTGCTAATCAATCAATTTATTTATATTAAACACATATTCTATGCAACTTTTCTATATCTCTGCTAAAATGGGTCGGAATAAAAGAGTATGTTATATTGTGTAAAGCAAAGGCTTCAAGGATAAATAAACGTTATTTATCGAATATAGTGTTTCAATTACAAAAGGTTGAGGTAAAGCGAACTGTGGTTTAAAATTTAAGCCTAGAGGCTGCTTGTTGAGGTGCTAGGTGCTCGATTATGAATGTAATGCAGAACGTAATTTTCGTTGAACATTTATCCTAGTACTAGCAGGGAATTTGTAACTAAGGTACAAGCTTTTAATATGAGAACTAAATGTATGCATGTATTTTACTGAAAGTTAAAGGTTGTTTGTCAGTGGTAGATTTTCCGAAACTAATACAAATTTGTTTCATGAAAACCACCTATAGTCATGGGTTTCCATTTTTATTAATCTTCATTGACTCACCATAGACGGTTCTGGTGGTCTCTTCCTTAAAGATAAATT